AAAAAAAAAGAGAAGAAGGTCTAATTATTCTTGACGAAATAATATAACTGCAGTTTTTATTTGGGTAGGAGGCTGTGTTGTTTGTAAAGTTGATGAAATCATTCAAGGACTCCCACAAGCCGTATCTTTAACGCCACAACCCGAACGGAACTTCGTTTTATTCTCCGAATCGGACTTTTTCACTCTTGAGTATTTCCCCTTGGAGATTGCGGAGAGTAGTGCTCCTTTCATTCGCGTGGCACCGGGCGAGGAAGAGGCAGCTTACATTTAAGTCCGTGTGAGGTGAAAAGCATTGATGCCAAAAGAAAGCAGCAGATAATGAGAAAATTAGTGCATTTTTGGCAAGTAAAAATGATGTATATGGAAGTTTTTTTACTACGGTACTGTCTTTTTTTTTTTTTTTTCCTCTTCCTCTTTGTTGTATGATGAACTATACAATGTAGAATAATTTTAATTTTTAATTTAGTGTTTTAAAGTTTTAAGCACTTGAGGTACCAACTTAAAACGTTAATTCGACTTAACGTTGATTTTGTCATAATTCTATAATTAATTTGGATTAGATTTATCATTAGATGAACTGCATTGTGGATATTGATCCCAAAAAAGAAACGGTAGGTATAGCCAATACGTGAACAACCAACCATTATACTGTAAAATTGGATATAGATTCGATCTATGGTCATTGTGTCCTCCTAAAAAGATCTATTAAATTCATTGAGTTGTTCCAACGAATCAAAACGGCCAGTTAGATTTATTCTAAAACGTTGATTGCCAATCTTAACAGATATTATAAGAGGTGTGATGCTAATAATCCAATCGATTCTTAGAAAATATATTATATTACTCTCATGAATAATAGCTAAAAGAATCGCACATATCGTATTATTTCAAACTCTTGTGGTATGAGGATTTTAAAAAATAAAAAAGAACTATTGATTGGATTCTAGAGAATCTGTTATTAGTGGTAACAAGATAATTCCTATCAATAATAAATAGAAAAGAAAAGAAGAAATCTATATTCCATACAAATAAAAAATAAAACCAAAGAAATAAAAAGAAAAGAATAGGCAAATAGAAGATTCAAGAGGCTTGGAACGATTGACATAAAGATGAAAGTGCCGACTTGATATTTTGGCATTATAACTCCAGAAAGAGAGCTCGGATTTGCACCAAAAAAGGATGTTCATTTCTTAAAATATCCCATATGCGTAGGCAAAAACAAAGGAAGGGGTCAGATTTATCCCGATAAGAGCAACAGTAATAATATAGTTTATAATGTTACGTTGTTAGTATAGTAAGCAAAATCATATGAAAAGAAAAAGAAGGGTACAAAATAACTATATGGGATGAAACACATGGCGGTTAAGTAGTTGATATTATCCCTCCAAGACCAAAACTTCTTGTTTCCAAGGGTGAACCTATCAAACTTGATCAACCATTAACAAGTAATTAATGCACTTGAGGCACCCTTGGAGTTTACCGTGTGTTGTTGTAGGTGGCTCAGGACTATGTATAAATATAGAGATATTAATATAAATACC